CCATTATCAGGGAAAAAAAAGAAAATATGTAAAACTCATTTTACAAACCATAATTACCTTGGAAAGTTATACCTTAATTATTTAAATGATGGAACATGTAAGTACTATTTGAAATGGAGCACATGACAGGAAACTCATAGTATGAGAAGACTTATAAATTAATAATTCTTGCAATATTGAAGAGGAAAGGATAACAAATGAGAAAATAATATAGTTTCACATAGTGATAAATTCTCTGAATAATGTTAACAATTAGAGGATGGACAGAGGGAGGTGGGTCTTTAGCAGATATCCTTTAATAAATACCAGGTCTTGAAAAATAAAACTGGGGATTCATGTGGGTGCAAATGTTTTTGAAAGTAACGTAATTAGATTTGCTCTCCCTAGTGGTGAGTATGACGACAGTTAAGGAATACATCTAACATTTGTGAGCAGACAGTGACCAGGAGACACCGAGATGATGGGAAAGCTAAGATCTCATTATCTTACTTCCAGGTCATGATCCTAGTAATACATGAGGATGGGGAAAACCTCTCAAGCTTAGGAGAGGTGGTTCCAAGGAAAACTCAATGGGCAGTGTGAGGGGGAGCTCCTAATGCCTAAGAGGAGAGTTAGAAGGAGGCTGCGGAAGGTCTAATCAATGTTCATGTGCATCAGGCATCAACACACAGCAATAATATTGGATTTTGTTCCACAGCATCTTATTAAATTAGAATAGATTTTCATCACATGAGTTGTGCCCTAGCCAAAGATTTACAACTGGCAATTCCAATCAGGAAAATGAAGAGTTTTTGTGATTAGAGACATTGCCCTGAAATATACATTATCAACATTCTCTTAAATTACTTATGAACGGAATGAGAATATTGTAGGAGAAGCTGTAGCCATGCCTAGTTAGGGGCTGGCAACAGGTGTGTCTGACTACGCCTGCGAGGGCATGGTCTAGGTGACATAGAGTGAGAGTTTCAGTGGCTGTTCACTTTTAGTTTTCCTTTTAGGCTTACTGTACGGACTGCTGCCCGCTGGCTGGCTAGGTCGCTCTGTAAATATTTAATTTTCCCTATTAAATACCCTTGTATTTCTACCTGGCTCTGTATTGACAATTTCCAACTATATCTGGTGTCAGAGATGGGATTGACTACAGCTTCCCCTACAGAATATAAAAAGGCAAAATGAATTGATTACAGTACATATATATACACATACATAATAACTGTTGTAATAACTGATATTCATATATCAGTTATTCTGTGATCTGCCACTGTTAACATATGAGGAATGTCTATTTTATATTAAAGTGACAATAATTTCCTTATAGTATTCCTAAATGAAAGCCCTTTCTATTGAATAGCTATTCTTATATATAAGGAGTCAGTCATAATCGTGAAGTCACTCACAGCCTTCTCTTCTTTTTCTTATAAATCATAACAATGTGATTTCCACTCCACTTAGACTCTTCTAAAATGAGGGGGGAAAGTGCCCTACAAAGGGGACATTTGTGTATTTAACACTAGAGATATCATAAGTCTGCTGGTGTTGCCAAAACACTGGCAACTTTTAAAACTAGGTTTTTGTATCAGGTTTCAGGAAAAAACAAAACAACAACACAACTCCAAAAACAAACAAAAAAGAAACAAGAAAAGCCTTTATTCTATCTACTAATGTAGTGAACAAACATGCCAGTCAAAAGAACCATGTAAATTGATACATGATTGAAATAATAAACCAATTTTGAATGAAATTCTCTGGTTTCTATTTACAAAACTTAATTTTGCACCTGCTAGTATATTTACTTGCATCAAATTTAATATTTACGATGACAAAAATGTACAGAGTTTTTTAAAATGTCTTTGAGCATATCAGGCCTGAAGCACTGACTTTCAACTGAATTTGTCTGTAATGTTCAGATTTGTTCCCAGATCAACAGTGAGAAGACCTCAGCATCTTTCTAAGACTCTGGAATAGAAAATGATAGTGTTTGCTTCCTTCCCTTCAGGCAAAAAAGGATGTCAGGACTACAACAAAGTAATTTCTTCCCACAGCATCCCTTTGATGAGATTGTCCTTTAATATACGGTCCTTTATATTTGGGACTATGCTGTTAGGTCAACAAAAAATGAATAAACTTTAAACTCTTCATTTGCTCAAAAATAAAAGATGACATAAGGAACCAAAGTCAGAAAGCAGCACCATAGATATCCATATGCACTCCTATATCACATTTTATATTTAAGGAGAAAACAGAGGTGTGCTTGGATTTTATAACTAACATCTTTTTATAAATCAGTCTAACACTTTAATTTTGAAAAGAGTACTTAAATCTAAAAATAATAAAGTGGATGACATAACCTGAGTGCCCAGAAAAAGTCTCCATAGAAACAGATTGTAAAAAATGGACACAAGAGTGAAGAGGTGGTTCTGATTTTAATAGATTCTTACTCATTGCTGGTCCTCATTGCTTTGTTTATTAATTTGTTCAGTGTGAAAGGCTTACCATCTGGCTGGCCATGGAGAGTCTGGGGACTTTGCATTCTCTCTTCCAGATTTGAGCTGAGGTCAGAGTTCACGGCTGACATGCGTGTTGAATCACTCATATCAAATTCATCACTCTCTATTGAACTTTCATCCTGAAATAGTTTGAAAATATCATCAGGTGCCATAAAATATAATATTGTGAACATCATGACTATTCTGACTCTGTGGTCAATGAGAGGTTAGGCAGTTAGTAAATTATTATCAGACTCTATAAAATGTGGTGCATACTGATAAATGCTTGGAACAATAAATGATGAAATTAATCCCTTTAAGAAATGTTAAGAAATTTGGATATTTAAACAACATATTATTCACTGTTCCATTGTATATGTAGAATAATGTGTTCAGAGAAGAGGTAATTTAGGAATTAGCCTGAACATCAAAATAAAAATGCTCTTCTTAATGAATTTATCTTAAAAGAGATGACCATAAAACCTGATGGGAAGGAAAATGTAAGTTGTACTATAAACGAAATGATTCAGTAAAATAGTATTAGCACAGATCTTATAATGCAGTGAGAATTTTTCATCAACAAACAAGATGGACTCAATGATAAACATATGTATAGATTCAATATACTTAATATAGAACAAGGAATTCTTAACATATTTTATGAATAAAGATGATAGGTATACTGAAGATAAATGATAGATAGATAGATAGATAGATAGATAGATAGATAGATAGATAGATAGATAGATAGATAGATTATA